ATTTAATTCTAAAGTTGTTTGATGCTTCCAAGTACAAAATATATACATAATTGATGAAGCTTAGTTTCTTGATACAAAATGTAAAGTTGAGACATAGAGGTCAGTGGGATGGTTTACCTGAAATGTAGACCAAATAATTCAGAATTTAGCTCTCTGCACATTGACTAATACTCTATCTTTAGCTCTAATGGGGAAGAAATATCTGGATGTATGGCTGCGTTTTCATTTTGGATAGTCAACACTGGTTCTTATTTCAAGGACCCCAATTATTTCCTGTGACATGGGAATAATGACTGGCGAGATTGAGTTCATCACCACCAGCAGCTTTGGAGAGTCTGTTTAAATGCTAAGTATTCTCTTTTTTATTAGTCATTGTCATCGGGTACCCTGATTCATTGTTACAGAAACTTAATTTCTTGTTGTATCATCTCCTCTGATGCAGTTGTTTTTAAAATGATGTCTCAGACATTAAGTTATGCTGTTCCCAAACTGCTCATAACCTAAGAGAATCTTGGATTTTTTTGCCAGCATTTCTTTCTCCTCCTACTCCTTTCTGAGACAAAAAGTGAAGATGGAAGAGGAAAGCGCTCTGTGGCACCTCAATCCTGCTTTCTGTCGCAGTGAAGCAAGTAGGTGGAAGCAGGGAATATGAAAAGCATCCCCAAGGCTCAGACTGGGATTTAGTGCATTTATATGGCATCGTTTCACCCATTCCCAGAGAGGGCATCTTGTTCTGGATCCAGGGAGCTTGGGTAAAGATAGGAGTGTAGCTTTGAGTCAGGAGACCGGGACTGTAGCACAGAGGCCCCCACTAACTAGTTGTCTAATCCTTAACAAGTTGCTTTGTCTTTCATTTTTCTCGTCTGTCAAGTCAAATGAAGGTTATGGAATAGATGATCTCTGAAAATCCTTCCAGTGCTACAGCTCTATTCTGGGTCTGTCTGCACCTGCAGACAGTGATGTGGGGGCAGGGAGGGCACTGAGGGGGAGGCAAATTTAGTCAAGAGAATAAAACACTTTCACCTGGAGCAGCCTTGTGTCCTCATGTGTGTTGTGCAGTACAGGCTTGTCTCAGATTATCCAAATAATTGAGTTCTCTCCTTTCTTTGCCAGTGGGCACACAGCTTTAGTTTTTCTGGGAGCAGCAGCTGCTTTTCTGAAATTTCCATCCCAGGGCTTCCGTCCTCCACTGTGTCCTCTCAGAAACCTGTCATGGTTTTTCTGGATGGATGCCCGCAGAATTTTAATCCAGTCACACACACACACACACACACACACACACACACACACACACACACACACACAGAAATTTAAAAAGAAAAATAAAGGAAGTAAAAAAAAAAAGAAAAAGTACTATGTATGACAAAAGCAAAACCAGGTTATGGGTTGACATTCTTCTTTAATTTGGTTACTTCAAGGGCTTGGAACATAGATGGGCATTGGTCAACAGCACTGTTTGTGCTGCCAGTTGAAGCCATGACTAGGGCCAGTGAGCTCTCTTAATTCATGGGTTTGTCCCTGATGGTGTAGAGGTGAGGCCTGTATGCTTTAGGGAGTGCTCTGGATCCTGCTCCAGGTTCTGGCACATCCAGTCCAGACTCTTGGTAAATGTCTGCTTAATTAAATCAGACATTTCTCTGGAATGTATCATTTTCTACCCTTGCCCAATAATCATTTGCATTTCTAGTAAGAGGGAAGGGGAGAAAGTCTCTGCCCTCAGGCAGCTTAGCAGAGTCGCCCAACTTTAAGAGGTGCAGTTTTGCAGCGTAACTTGTAGAAAGACCCTTCAGGGAGCCAGCTAGAAATACAAATTCCTGGACACTGCTCTCAGACATTCATTCAGTAAGTCTGAGACTCCGAAAGCTGAATTTTACTTACCCCAGATCAGCTTGATGTACAAGAGTGAGAGATGCCTTAGAATTGCTTGTGGCTAGAAATAAACAGCACTATCAAAAACAAGAATTTCACGATTCTGTTTCTGCTTCTGCTTCCTGTTGTCTGAATAAAATTCATGAAAATCGATGACGAGTGATCAGGATTCCTGGCATTGACATTAAGGTCTTTGCTCTGTGTCTCTTGGATACCCACAAGGGTCATCTGAAGATTCAGAAAACTCAAAGCAAGGATGGGGTAAAAAAGGGGGACGGGCTCTGTGGGGTTGGTAATGAACAGCTTTGAGGCCAGGCAGAACTGAGTTCAAATTCTGCCTCAACTAATCATGTGACTTGGGCAAGTTGTGGAACTCCTTCTGAGCCTCCATTCTTTCATCTACAAAACTGGAATATGACTACCTCCCTGATGGAGGAGCGGAGGTTAAATGAGTTTTAACCTCAGACAGGTGACTGCTCAATAAACAAAAGCACTTAAAATACGCTATAAGGGGGGAGAACAGGGATTTTTGCATCTGGGATTTGGTCACAGTTTGGATGTTCCCTGTGGCGCCCAGTAAATGCGGGAACTTCCAGAGCCACCACTGCCCAAAGGGCAACAGTTTGCTCCCCCCACCCCTCCCCTGCCACCTACCTGAAAGAAAAAGTGATGGGTTGGGTGATTTTTATTTTGTAAAAGTCTGCTCTCCCGGCCTTTGACCGGGCGCTGCGGGTGGCCGCGTAGGTTTCTCAGGCGGCGGACAGGACAGGAGGTGGCTGCAGACCTGGGTGCGGCGGGAGACCAGGCGCCACCCGAAGTGGCCCCAGGAGGGCTGGCGCTGGGGTCTGGAACTTCCGCGGCCCCCAAGGCTCCTGAGAGGGCGGGGAGGATCCCAAGCACACCCGACCCGGCGGCACAGTCTGAGGGTTCGACCCCCACCCGGCCGGCAGGGGCAAGAAAAGGCCTGTGTGAGATTGGGGTTCCCATCCCCCACCCTGCCTGCGGAGGCCTCAGGGGCACCCTCCGCGGAGCTCTGCCGGGAAACAAAGGCCCCACCCCCGCCGGGACCCCCAGCGGAGGCACAGATTCCCTGGGACCCTCACTGGCGACGCGGCAGTGGGAGTGAGGCCCGGGCGGCGGCACCTTCCGACGGCCTGGCCCTCGTGGGAGCCAAGCCCTCGGTGCCTGGAGGCGCCCGTCCGGGCGCCGGAGCGTTGTGGGAAGCAGCGGGAGGGTTCGCGGGATTCTGCCTCAACCCCACCCCACGTCTTCAGACAAGGGCGGCCGCAAGGACCCTTTGCCAGCGCGGCTCCCACCGGCCCCCACCGACTCGCCCGAGGAGCGCCGGCCATCAGAGCCACTTTCCTCCGGGCCGCCCCGTCGGCGTCGGGCTTCGAGGGCGGCGTCCGCCGCGGGGGGGGCGGAGGGGCCCTCGGCTGCTGGGAACCCAGGAAACCCGCTCGGGACACCGCTCCTCCTTGGCTCCCCCGAAGAGAGGGGAGTAAGAGCCCAAGGTCTGCC